GTAAAGGGAGGCAGTCTCCCAGAGTGATAACTTGGTGAAAAACAGAGTGGAATTCATAATAAAGATTAACACCTGGTGTCTTTCCCACGAGACATCTGGACAAGGATGTTTTTCCCAATTGTCCAGTGAGCTCCTGTCCTGTCCTAGCTGCACATAACACACTTTAAATCCGGGCTGTCTGTACAATAAATTGGCCTTTTTTCCCCAAAAGAGGTCCGTGTGTGTTGCTGTCTTTTCTCTCTCTTTGCAGCGTAGTAACTACATAGGGAAACCTTTCTAGGGTAGAGAAACACTAGGGAATTCCCTGAGAAGGTTAGAAAACCACTGCTGGTGGGAATCCTGGTGAACTTCTGCTAAGAATAGTTTAGATATTCTTAATCCTATGGCAGGAAAAAATAATTATCTCCTGAATTGCCTTATTTTCTGTTCTAGGCAGAGAAAACTTGTGAGGCTGTAGTGCTGATGTGTTTAATAAACTCTCTTGCTCTATCTCCTTTTCTTCTTCCTACTAAACCAAAAAATGCAAAATGTGCATTGTTTTTCAGTCATCTCTTCTAAACATAGCTTTTCCTTTCCTTCAATGTCAGGGGAAAAGAATTCTTTCATCAGAATCTTCCCTCATGAAATGGTTGTTTCTCTTGGCAGCTTTTCTTTGCAGTGATTCACTGATTCCCTTCAAGAAAAGACAGCTAGATAAAACTATGAGGATAACCAAAGCAGTGTAGGTAGGAAGAGAGTGAGAGCTAAAATGTCATGGAAAAGTAAAATCTGGCATAATGAGCTCATGCATTTCTATGGTCCCCTTGATCATAACATTACAGCACCTTTCCTTTGAGTGTTGTTCCTTTTGGATCATGTGTGGCTGCATCCTCTGTGAGGGAAAGCAATATTCTGCACAGAATCCCTCATGAGAAGAGAGCAAAAATCATGAGAGGACCATTTCTTCTATTCCAGATTAGACATGTATCATGGTTTAACCCCAGTCTGCAACTAAGTGCCATGCAGCTGCTTGAATAATAACAATAATAGTAATAAATAGTGAGAGAGGGGAATAATAAAGACAAGATGTGGACAAACAGTGGGGAAAAAAAGCCTCTAAAAATGCAGTTCCTCAACTATTTCTTTAGTCTGCTTTCTGGGGTAGCTGCAGAGATATTTGTGATTGCCAACAGAAGGGAGGAGGTGGTGTGAGGGTACAAATCTTAAAGGAAGAAGAAAAGGATGGGAATCATCCTTACCTCCACAGTGACCACAAATAAGCTTAGAATGGTGCATTAAAAATGAAAACTGATGTGTTAGACCACTCTTCTAATTGCTGGTTTTGTGAACTAGAAGGAAAACATAATCACACAGTCTCCAGACCCTCAAATTCTACTAAAAAAACAAAAAAAGAGACCACAACTAAATCTTCCTTTCATCTGTCCTTCAGATGTAATTCTGATAATGTTCTGATATTAAAATGCCATAAGTTTTTAATAATAAAAATAAATGATAACTAATTTATCTAGATCACTGCTAATTACCATGTTTCTGCCCTCTCTGTTCTGCCTGACACCAGGAAATACTGTGTGTGATTTAGGCCCTTCCTTGTAGCACATCACCTGTTGTCCTGCACATCTCTTCCAGTGGCTGAGTGGATCTCTAATAGCTCAGAGATGTCACCATGGTACTGCATGAAATACGATGGCTTTAGCCAGACAGCAGCATGTCAAAAACTCAAAATAGTCAAGGAGTGAACAGTTATTTGTATTTCTGACCTCTGAAAAATGGTCTTATTCTGTGTAATGATCATTGAAGAGATAAAATTATTGCTTAAGTCATAAAATTGGAGCATTTCCCTACTGCCACAGATACTTACCTAGATGTATGTATATATTAATTTACACAGATTCTGTCACACTGCTGGCTATTCATGTGCAGCTCTTGTTGTCTAGTCCCCCACTCTGATCCTCCCAGCTGACACTCAATAAAATATAAGCATTGCATGATTTGGATTAAAATGCCAATTTCATTGTTGCCCATTCTGTTGGATAAAATTGAATAAATTTTCCCTTCCTGAAAAGCTTCTAGATTTGTACCTACAGTGCTGTTCAATAAATTAACAGTGAGGCTGTACCCAGTTACTAACAGGATTGTATTTTTCAAGACATGCATTTGATTTCCAGACTGAGTTTTTCTTCCACAACTGATAAGAAGATTTTTTTTATCATTCTCACTGCCTGCTCAAACTGCATGCTACTAAAGTGAGATATTTTACAGGCATCTCCTACATTATAACTATCTTTAAGCTACTTTAGTCAACAGCCCTGAGAGAAATAAAATTAACTTTGCCATAAGCCTATAGTGATCACATTAATAATATTTATCTCCTTAATTATTTATTAATTGGAATACATATTAACCATGGCATTATTTTTGTCTGGATCGACATCACACTCATAAATTTGGGATTACCTGGATTATCCATTTAGTTCTAAAAATGTTCTTACATTTCTTCAGGTCCTCTGAAAATTGCCATTGTTTTCCAACAGACTGAAAAAATTATATATATATATATATCCCCCTATTATTTCTGCTGACATAACTAGTTACAAATTACACAGAATTGCAAATATCTAATTACAAACCTTAGTACCAACTCATTAATGTCATCCTGAATTATTCTTGATATGGAAATATTTCATATTCTCAGCTATACCAAACATTTTTGTCGTCCCAGATACACAACAGGAGTTCTTATTGATCTCTTCTTAATTAACTGTTATGGAGGCCAAGATTTCCCTTAGTACTGAATCACTACCAGAATTCCTGCAGCTTTGGTTTACTCAGGAAATTATCGAATTCCTTTTATTCCTATCAATATTGGCAATAGCTTGTTCTTTGTAGCTGTTTTTTCGTGCTTAAATGCCTACATTCTCAACCTCTGGCTTATATTCATTATAATTCTTTTTTTTATACAATCCCAACTTTAAGTCTGCTTAGTTTTCTAATTAATGTGATATTCTGAAAAAAGAGGCAGTTTTTTCAAACTGTATTCATGAGAAATATTCTTACTTAGCATTCCTAGTTTATTGCACTTTTATTTTCTTTTTACAGTGTTGCAAATCGTTTTCCTCTGGAGGAACTGGCTTATTTTAAAGCTAGAAATAGTGCTTTGGGTGTTAATCATACTTGCAGCAAACAGTGTAAACTGTGATGATTTCTTGTACAAAAGTTACACTGTTTTTTTTTTTTTTTTTTTTTTAGGTTTGTGATTTCTATGCTACGATAGTTCTTGATGAATCTGCCTGTGCCATGCACAGCATTTTGTGTTAGTGAGAAATCTTTTGCCTCCCAACACTTTGTAGGTAGCTCTGTGTCTCCTCTGCAGTGCCCACGTCTGCTACTCAGAATTTACTCACTCGTGGTGTGCTCATTTTCACCCACTCCCCCTTTTGTTACGTGCAGGTGCAATTGTTTGACGATTTTTTTTTTTTTTTTTGGTTCAGTAGGTTGTAGCAGACACCAGCTAGTAAACCACGTCATATTTATAGGATACAGCGTTTATTTCATAAGCATTTGGCAAAATGTGCCTCTTGAGGTGTCGGGAGCGGTGTAATTTTTACAGAAATTGCCAGTTCTGTTTCTTTTTTTCCCCAAGCTGCTCGACTGTAAACACCTCAGAGCAATTTTAGCAGAGCAGGAGTTGGACTCAGCACAGCAGCTTGCTGCAGCCCCCCGGGCCATCCTGTGTGTGTCCCAAGTGCACAAAGGCAGAAATTTCTTCTATTCTTGTGCCCTGATGTCAGTGTGAGTCCAGGATGATGGAAACCTCCAAGACCCAGAGTTAGTTGGATTTATCTGTGATGGCAGTGATGCCTAAAGAGGCTGCCTGGAACAGAGGCTAGGCAGAGTTAAAGGAATAAAGCAGGTATTTATTAAAATGCCTTCAAAGGATCCACCTTGGGTGCACAAGGGCCTGGCCAAAGATACACCCAAGGTGGATGGCAGGTCACAAGTTTTCACACTTTTATAAGTTTTGTTCCATTTCCATTTTGGGGTTAATTGTCCAATTACAGCTCCAGGTTCTGCAGTCCCATCCTCCCAGATTGCTCTCCTCAGTTTGCTGCCGTTTAGACTTTTTGGGCCTGAAGCTGCAATGGTGTCCTTGGTTCTCAGGCTGGAAAAGGATTGTTGTGTCTGACTAAACTGTGGGGAGAGCTTGCTAACACTTTACATGGAGTTCAGAGTTATATACTAGTGCAGTGCAGAATCTGGAAAATGTGAAAGCAAAACCTCCAGGCGTCAGCAGGACTGGTAGCACCTGCTCACCTTGGGGGTGACACCTGGACAGTCCCTGCTGCAGCTGCTGCTGTTGGATCAAGGTGAAGAGAAGAGGACTTGGGGCTCACCCTGTCTGGGAAACACCAAGGAGAGCTGCCAGTCAGATTAAACCTCATCACTTCTCACTCCCTGTCCTAGGAAAACACGAATAATAATCCCATGAAAGGCTCTGATTCTAATGAAAAGACGTTTTTTGAAGTGTTTCCAACCATCTCACTTGCTTGACCCACTTTCTGAGTGACTGCACCCTCTAATGGGGTAAAACAGATTGACTTGCAAAGCAGCCAATTTATTTTTCTGTTGTTTATTCCTTTCTAGCCCTTACACGTATAATACAATAGCTTGTTCTCGTGCCAGTAAAACAAGCACAGTTCTGCTGGATGTAGATTACAGGGGACATATGAATATTCAGTAAAGACTCTATATGATTCATCTCTACTCTGGGTTAATGAAAAGAATGTAAACAGCTTTATATATCCATGGTGAAATGAAAAGGGAATTTTAATCATAGAAAGGAGAATTTATTTCACTTCTAAACCCAGAAAAAAGTATGTTTTTTTTTCTCCTACTGTGCAAAGCCATTTCATTTTACCAAAGCTTTATGGGAAAGTGAACATTTGAACAGTGAAAGGAGATGAAACAGACACTTAATCATGATGCTGTATCTTACCCAATAGGTAATTTTCTAATGGACCAAGAAAGCCAACGATGACAAGTTGTGGTCAACAGCCCTTGAATGTGCTGATGGTTCTGCTCTCATTACTCTTGTCAGCAGGTAACTTTTATAATTTATCTCTTATTGATGTGTGCTACAGCGAAAAAATAATTGCAATTTAATACTGTGTTCCTACAAAGCAAATGAGACCAAATGATTGTTAATTGCATAATAAATAAATCATAGACTCATAGAATGGTTAGGGATGAAAAGGACCTACAAGGTCATCTAATTCTAATACAAATGAAGCCTCTCTGTATTTAAGAACTGGAAACTGGAATTTGAAATGGAATGAAAAATTCACTTTAAGAACAAAGACTGGAAAGTTGAAAGAGTAGCTTTATTTCTTTGGATATGCTATTTTTTCAGCTCACCTAAAAGAAAAGAATAATTTCTATACCACCATAAAACACATCCATTTTGCTAAATAAACATCCACTGGAAGCAGAGCAAGTCGGGCTCTGGTTGTGTTTTTTTCTGTGTGCACACCAGGGATTGTAAAGCACCTGAAGGATTGAACTTGGAATGTGTGTAATTTTCCTGAATCTAAAGAATTGACTGGATCAGAGATGTTTCTCCTGATGCTTGGTAGTTCTGCTCTAGATGTTTGCTGTTAGCACACAGGAAGGGTTTGTGTGGAAATGTGCCAGTTGTCAGACTGAGAGTTAGGGGAATGCTCTGATTATTGGTTGTATTTTTTCATCAGAAGTCATTTATGGCATTAGGGTTTTTTGAAATCATGAGTATTTAAAATAAAATTTTTAAAAGTTCTTAGTCCAAATAGGTTTGGTCTTACAGGCTTTTAGTTCAACATCTTTTATCCTCCATTCTTGAGGCAGTTTTTAATACAAAAAGACTTTTTCTTTTTCTCCTTATTCTGTTGTAGTACATCACATCCCCAACCACCAGGGTTAAAACTTTCCTAGGCTCCATGTTTCTTAAAGTATCCTTGTGCTCCAGTCAAAATTGTTACTACTGAGTCTTTGTCTTTAATATTCATAATATATTAATATTCATATCCTCGCCAGGCAGTTCAAGCATGTGTTTTGTTGCCCACAGTCTCATTGCTTGTTTGCAGTGTTCAAGTTGATTCTTGCTAATGATAGTTCATTATTTACCTCTGACACAGCCCTTTTGCTAACAATGTTCTAATATTATCAATCAGAGCACTCCTCTGCTCGGGTCAAATCATTGTTTTCCTTTAGAGCCCTTCCCCTGAAATCCCCACGTTTGGTGCTGCATTCCTAATTATGGAGGTGTCCTCCTCCTGTGATGGACTGGGATCCAGGCACAGGGGCTGGAGCTGCTTCTTTTTCTTCTCTGGGCTAAAGAAATTTCAAAGATCTACCTCCCTGGTGTAGCAATGAACTCAGTTATCAAGAAGTCTTCAATGAAGTGATCAAACATCACAAAGCTGTTCCAGCTGTCCCAGTCTCTTCTGTCCATTTTTAAGTTTTTATACCTTTGCCACTCCTTATAGGGGACTTGTGCTAGAGCTGTCCCGAGGTCCCACTCTTCCAACCCATTTCCTCAAGATGATACAAATACCTGTGTTTGGAGGTGGGTGGGTCACTGTGATTTCACTGTGCATGCAAGCAGCTCTATTCAGCCACTGGTGTATTCCCTCTAACCCTTATTCCCTCTAACCTAGACATATTGTTTTCTCTCTCTTAAAAGTGAAGTGCAGTGTTTTTATTTGAAACCAATTGCACACAGCTTTTCCTTCTTACATTAATTTATCTGTTACCCTTGATAACTACTGGGTTTGTAAATGTGTTTCTTATCATTTTGTGGCTCCTTGGCTATTGCTGTTTTATTATCTGATATCCTCTATTAGCATGTAGAGTCCGGGCTTATTTGAAATCATCACAAGTCTTTCATGACAGCCAAACTCTGTTCCCTCCTTGTGGAATTTTGCCACTATCATCTGTAGGAAGGGGTTTAGGTCATTGGTGACTCACAACACACTTTACAGGAGGAAATCTATTACTATTTTTCAGCCAGTCAATATATATTTTTTTTTTGTCCAAGACAGATTAGTTTCCATAAAGGAAAACTACTGGCTTTATGTGGTGAAGGATGGGGGGTTAAAAGAAAGGATGCTACTCTCACTGGAATGATATGAACCTCATTTTTAACCTGGGCTGAAATGGAAATCTAATGGCAAGACTCCTTTGAGTGCCCTAGATTTACAGATTTACATCTCCAAGATCTTGCTTTACTTCCAAGTCTTTGGTATTTTAAAATCAACAATCTCAGTAATCAATTTCTGGGTTGAGAATATGAAACTTGAGGTATTTTATTTCAGTGCAAGCAAGATCACAGTGATGTTTTAGGGGTTGTGAGCACTTACTGGTTTTACTGGGCACACAGGGAATGCATAATAAAGGGAGGAGCAGCATGCAGTCATGTTGGAGGAGACTTTTTGACCACTAACTCTTAGATTGGCTTTGCAAATGTTGATGCTTACTCATTTAAAGGATTGAAACACATTTATAAAATCAGTGCTGACAGCAAGGCTTATATTAACAAGCAAAAATCGTCAGATTATTTGCACATTACAGCATTTTTTCTTTGAAGTAGGAAATTAAGATCCACACAGCAAGTTAACATGTGGTAAAATGCATACATATGAATATTTCTGTGGTTCCATATGGAAAACTTGTAAACACCAGCCATTCAGAGAGTCTTGGGGCTTTAAAAATTTAGTATCTAAATTAAAAATGTACATTAGGCAGATCTCTAGCTGTGACCAGATAGAGAAGTAACAGTTTGATGTTTGCTGGCTGTGTTTTTAAGGTAAAGTAGGTAAGTCTTGTGATGATGAAGCATGACAGACTATTCTCTTGAAATCTTCTGGAACAGAGAGAGTAGCATCTGCATCAACTGTTCAATAACTGCTTTCAAAAATAGCATGAGAATTTGCACTTGCAGTTCCACTTCAGACACAACTGCACCTTTGAACAGACAATTTAAGGCCTTTACAGGTACAGCACTTTTATCTGAAGTATTTCTATAGAAATAAGGTCCTTTAAACCTGGGGATTTAAGCAAAGTTATTTTCAGGAAAAAAAAATACTTGGAAGAAAATAAATCCTACTTTGTTTATTGGCTCTCTGATCCACAGAGAAGCAAAGACAGCAACTGAAATGACTCAGATTACAATAAATAAAGTGTTTTCCATGTATGCTAGGTCTGGCTGGGACGGGGTCAAGGCTGTGTTTTAGGCAGGTGACCAAAGCAGTGCTGGTGTCACAGCACTGTTGGGGCACTGCTGATCCAGACTGGCCAAGGTGGTTTCTTTACCACGGGATGGATGCTCAGCAATAAAATGGGGGTGGGAGTTTATCCAAAAATTGCTCAGGGATTGGCTGGACATCAGCCTGCTGGTAGTGAGTGATTGCTTTAGCATCACTTGTGCTTTGTGTTTTGTTGTTGATGATGTTGTGGGGTTATTCCTTATTTATTATACAGTGTTTATCTCAACCCATGATTTTTCTCTTTGCCTTTCTGATTCCCTGGCCCATCCAGTGGCAGGGAGAAGTGAGCAAGCAGCTGTGTGGTGTTCAGCTCCCAGCAGGGGTAACCCACCACACACTGGCTGCTGAGTTCAGAATGGGATTCAGTCATCACATCATGCATTGCTTTAATCACCAACACATTTTGCTATTTAAGGATTTGCTTAGGACTATTCTATTGCAGATGTCCCTCCTTCTAGGACCTGATGTTATCTTAACTCTCCCTTCCTTCTGTAATCATGCTTTTCTCAGTTTTCATTCTCAGAGAAGGTTGGGGACTGTTTCCTTTTTAAGAGAGAGCAATGGAGCTGTGTAGGGTTCAGGGGACACTTCCACCTGTGCAGTTAAACAAAACACTTGGCAGTGAGGAGCAGCCTTAACCTCTGAGTGACAGTGACAGGACCAGAGGCCATGGGCACAAACTGCAACCCAGAAGGTTCCCTCCAAACATCAAGAAATTATTTTTCATTGTGAAAGGGACTGAGCACTGCCATAGGTTAATTGTGGAGGATGTGGAGTCTCCATCCTTGGAGAAACTCAAAAGCCATTTACACACAGTTCTGGGCAACAGGTGGTCCTGCCCAAGCAGAGGGTTTGAATGAGATGACCTCCGGAGGTCCCTTCCAGCTGCAAACATTGAGGTTTTTCACAACATCATCTATCCTGGCACACTTATTATTGCTGTGTTAATTAAGGAGGAGTGCAGCAAAGTACTTGTTCAAACAAACTCATTCCCATGCAGTTACATGCTGTGTGGATTTTGTGACAGAATTTGAACATGCAGATTTGTTGCAAGAGGTACAGAGGGTGTTGAAAACCTGAGTCTAAAAGTTTCTTCACTGATTGTAGCATCCTCACATTTGGAACACATGTTTTTTTTTTCCTCAGGTAGGACAAAAACAGGTAGGTAATTAGTTTTCTCAATATCTGTATTCCTTTATAAAGGGCTTTCTTCCACCACTTTCAGTTCCTGACTGAATTAATCTACAAAAAATATTTCTTCTTTCGTGCAAGTAATGATGCCAGGTATGTATGTGCATACATAAATATTTAGAGTGGGCTTTCTTGACTCAGACTGCAGTACAGGATTACCTTGTTGTCGGTTTAGCACTCTTTTTTTTGTTCTAGGCTCCCACTCCTTACACACAAATAAAGAAGTGATCTCCACTGTCACAATCCTTTAAAATCTGTCTTGAAATTAATATACTTTATAAAATTGACAAGCAAGTGTTAGGAATAGGCATTTTTTTTTATTTTTTTTTTTTTTTTAGCCAAGTAGGAAAAAAATGAGGATTAGACAGATAAGGTGCACAGATGCAGTTGCAGATCAAGAGGGGCTCTGTGCAGAGGGGTACAGTGCAGTTCAGCTAAATCCGTGCAAGTCATTATGTATAACCTCTTGTACTGGTAATCTCACAGAAAACTTATGCACCAAATTACAAGGGTTAATTCTGTTGGTCCAGAGTGAATCTATCATTTATTAATTGGTATAACCTTATGAAGTGGTGCTGCCCAGAGCATTATTGAACTTCAGTTCTCCAAAGGAAAAACATTGCACTGCTAAGAGGATTCAGACTCGGCTTCCACGTTTCACTTTCCTCAGAGCTTAAAGGGTGTCTGTGGGTGCATGTACTCTTAGATGAAGCTGTAATGCCTATCATAACCATGTGGAACCAAATATTGACTCCTAAAAGTCTTTCAGGAAGCTGCATATGGTTGCTTACGAGCATTTTGGAAGGGATTTCTATCCTGCCCCTCTGCACAATGGAAAAGCTCAGGGAAACTAAGATGATAAAAGGGAATCTATGGACAGCTTCTTTTTTCCTCCTAGTAAAAGTGATGGTGAAATCAATGTGACATATGACTGTAAAACAGAAAAAATGTTCTCAGAGCTGTAATAAACACTTTACATGAGAACTTGTTAAAGAAGAAATGTAAGAGCTCCCAGGAACACCTGTATTTTATTAGTTCTGTCTATTTGCAAATTCAGAGTTGTTTGGATTTGTTATGTGGTTGGTAATGAGTGTTTCTGATAGAATATTCCTTATCAAAGATTGACCTTTAGAGAAGAAGAAAATAAATCAGGAACAGTCAACCAAGTGCCATCAAACTTTTATTGCAGTTTCTACATAGACTTTTTGTTTTTATTAAGTTGTCCCAGGAGAATCAAACATTAACATTGTTGTGTGTTATGGATATCCCTACACTTAAAACAGCAGTATGAAAACATTTCCCTAAATACTTTTGTGCCTCTAAATGTTGAGGGCATTTCTTTCCTTCCCTTAAAACAAACAATAGTAATCAGAAACACGGAAGCAACAAGATGCAAAAATAAAACAGAAGTCTGAACCTTGTTACTTTTAAGTACTAAATGTTAAAACATTGAAAGTTCTGAACTACTAATGTTTTTCAGAAATCAACCACCAGTTGTGTTTAGCTTTGAGAAATGCGAGTTGATAATGCAGATAACAGAAGTGACTGACAAAGCCAATGTTGTTTTTGTTTTCCAGTGTTGTCCGCGCATTTTCGGGTCTGCGAGCCATACACGGACTACAAAGGTCGCTACCACTTTGGTTTTCACTGCCCCCGTCTTTCTGACAACAAATCTTACATCTTTTGCTGTCACCATAACAACACAGTGTTTAAATATTGCTGCAATGAGACAGAATTTCAGACTGTTATGCAGATGAATTTAACAGGGAATGCAGATGGATATATGCATAAGTAAGTAAATGAGTTTTAAAGTACTCTTCACCAAACTAATAACAGAATCTGAGGTGCACTTAATGATGGAAGCAATCAGAATAATTGCATATACAGAAAACTACTACTAAAAGGTTTTTTGTCGTTGCAGAGCTCCTAAGAGTATTTCAGCTTTGCTTTCTTTGCTTTGACGTGGGCTGTAAACATTGCAAGGAGAGTAAAAGTTGCATATAAATGTGACAAATAAAAAGTTACTTATAAAAGTTAGAAAAGTCTTTCCCATGACCCCAGTTTGATCCAAACTATGTTTAAATGTGCACTAGTAAAAATAAACCCCAAGGCTGTTCATAGGTGAGAGGGAGTGAGCTGACATTTTCTGTATCAACCCAAATGCCCTATTTGGAACCCCTGATGTTTTTGAATCTTAATCTCTTGTAACAAATCACTAGCCTTGGGGAACAGAATGTATTTGCTTTTATACCAACATTGTGTGGTCTCCTTGTCTGTTACCTGGGATAATTCCATGTTCTGCTGAGGGCTGTCCCCCAAAATAAATGTCAACAAGTTTTTTATGTATAAAGAAGTAGGAAGTAGCAGGTAGATCTTTGTTACTGAATACCTATTTACAGGAACAAAATCTTCCCTTGTAGTCAGTTTCCTATCTAGTATTGACATTCTGGCCACACTAATCTGCTGTGATTTCCCTTGGTGTAATCCCCAAGATGGAATTCTGGTCAACCTGCTCCCCTGCCATTTTATTTTGGTATTCAGCCCCTCCAAGACAAGGGAGGGGCAGATTGGTGTGTTATATCCATCCCTGTGGGAGCAGGTGCAGGGCTGTTAGGAGATGATGGTGCAGGAATACTGATGCTGGCTGGTCTAACTCACTGTGTGCAGCTGTGCTCAGCTCATGGAGCCAGCAAAGCATTGCCTTCCCTACCAGCCACTCCTCACACACACCTGCCCAGAGAAATTTCAGTCGTGCAGAGACATAGAAGTTGCATTCTCTAAGTTTACTGGTTGCTAAAGTGTCAGTCACCTGCAAAGACAGACAAAAATAGACTCTACCCATATAAGATAACAGTATAGATCCACATTGATTTAAAGGTGTGTTACTTTATGTGTACTTATGTCCTTCAGGTGAAATTTCTTTGCCTTGGCTTTGTAGTGCCTCTGGGATCATGAGAACAGATCACACAGAACACTGGGAACATACTGTACTACCAAGCCCATTAAAGACCATCCACTTTCTCCACTTTTTGTGCAGCCCAGGCAATCCAGCAACTTTCACCTGGGGCTCCCCAAATCTGGCAGCATCAATAGTTCCAGGCAGCCTGGTAGAGTTGATATCCCCAGTGCTCCCACACAATGTGTACTGTACACATGCTGAACCCCTTTGTGTACTGGGGTGGCCCTGCTCCCTCAGCAGCCCTGGATGGCAGAGAGGTCCTCACAGGACTCCAAGAACAGAAGGGCTCTGCAGGTAGTCAGACAGTCACTGCTGTGCACTTAAGAGTGGTGAAATGAGCCTCAAGAATGGGCTTGTGAGGCTGTTGCCTCACTTTTCCAGGTCTTTGTCCTGCACAAAACAAACTGATTTTATTTCTTGCCCTGCTGTTCTGTAAACTGTGCACCAGCACTGCTGACCACCCTGTCTCACAGAGGTGGGGATGTTACCATCAAAGGCACTTCAGACAAGCACAGAGCCAATGCTTCAGGCTTTTCCCAGTGTCCCAGCAGCTATTCTGTGTATTCATGGCCAGAGCTTACTCAGGTAAGGCTCTTCTGCCCTTCCTTCCACCAGCACCCTGGAATGTAGAGGGCAACCAGCTCCTTTCCAAGGCAGAGGAAGAGGTCCAGGCTGATTGCAGAAGATGCCCTGGGACACAGAGCATTTCTCTGCCTCCAGCATTGTTTGCCTGCTCACATCTGCACACGTGCACACACCCCCAGAGAAATAAATCCAGGGGTCTTCATATCACAGGGCTGTTTGTGTATGCAAGCAGCTTGGAAAAAAAAAAAAAAGTAGTTTGGTGTTCTGTGAACTACAGCATTGATTTTTGATAAAAATATTTAGTTTTTATTAGTTTTCATGTAGAACTATTTTTTTAAAGTCACTTTATTCCATTGTGATGGAGAAAGAGGTAGGTTTTGTTGGTAAGATTTGTGGTTGAGAACCACCTGCAGACTATTTACCATCCAGTCCAGGATTTCCTAGGGACATCAGCTGTGTGTGAACTTTTGCAAAGGTATGTGACACCACACTGGATACAGTCAAAAGCCTCTGGAGGTGTAGCATGGAGAAGTGCAGGAATGGAATTGGTGTTGCCTTGTTCCTCAAACATCACTTCTGATAAGTCTGTCAGGAGCAGGAAAATGAAGAGATGCTGCTTCCCACGTAAAACTCCACCCATGGAGTGAGACAGACAGGAGAGAAATCTCCTCACCCTGAGCTCAGTGACACTGGTAGGAAACTTCCTGGTATTTTTAGAAGGAGCAGAAAGAAGTGAACCCTATGTGCCTACATTGAAAACATTGCAAAAAGCTTCTTACTTAATACTCTGACTCTATCGTAGAGGATAACTTGGATTCTAATGCATCCAGGCTTCAGTTTACAGTGACAAAGTCAGCTCTTTGTTTAGATCTAATTTCACACACCACTGAAAAAAAAAATCTGATGAAATCTATTGTATTGTGGCAGAGGAGAATAATTTAAGATATGGGAATAGCAATGAACTGAAAAAAAATGGATTATAGTTTTCAGGGAAGAGTGATTCAGTATTATTGCTTGGTTTATTTCAATATTATTATTTGGTTTATTTTTCCCCTTGGCCATTCTTGTGATCACCAAAACAAATTTTTTGTTTTATAATACAGTTGAGGGAAAAAGTTAATGAAGTGACTTGTGACTTCTTTGATATGGTACAGCCCAAAAGGCACATTTGTCTTCACCAGTCCCACAGTGCAACTATAGCCACATTTATTTACATTTTTCATTACTGTAACACAATATTTATGTTTTTATAAGCGCAAAAGATGGGAGTATTATATCTTTGTAACCGTGCAGATTAATTAGTCTATAATATTTTTGAATGTGAATATGTCATTTAATATTAAATTTAGAAAAGCTCTGTAATCCAAAGAATTTCCCCTTAGAACTGTCTAAGAAATTGCTTAACTATTCTTAAAAATAGTATCCACTTGAATCTAGTTTGTCTAGTTTTCATAGTCACGTTTTCTGTTGTGCATACTTTGGTGGATGATCAGTAGTACTGCTATGATGGGGTCCTTAGTCTGATACTGGAGCAATGTTCTGGCAGTCTGTAGTGTATCCATGTTTTTCCTTATCTCTTAGTCCAATTTGTCAGAGTGGAATGGCTTTTGCACACCTCATTCCAACACCCAAAGCAATGTGAGAACAGAATAGCACCATCTTTCTCCAAGTAATGAATGTCTTCTGCAGAAATGGTATTTGCTTGAGTAGCACTCAGAGTCATCTTTACAAGAAAGAAAAAAAAAATCATCAATTCCACTACCAACTGTTGCAAAAATATGTAATTTGGCAGGGAAGATCTCTCAGGTACAGCAGTAACAGATTCCTCAGGATTGGACAAAGGCCTGGAGATAATTAGAAAAATAGGGGGGGAAAGAAAATCTCATTTAAAGCATAGATGGAAAAACTGCACTGGTTTCTTCAGTACCAAGGATGTAACCTTGCATTTCCTAGGAGCAACCCTTACTGTTACTGCTCCAAGGATCAGCCCCTTTTGAGTAGAACAGGGGAAGGAACCATTTCTGAGATCATCCTCCACATTTAAACTCTACAGCTGTAGAATTCAGCCCCCAGTTGTTTAGATTTGTTGGTTTTTTTCAAACCTGTATTCCCAAAAGTGTTATTTTTTTGTTCATATGCTGCACATAAAACCCAAGAAAATCTACTAAAAAGATACAGGTTAGATATAACCAGCTTATTTGTCTCCAAAAGTGAATTAATGAGATGGATGCAACTTGATACACCCTGTAATGGAACAAACTCTGTAATTTGAATCTCAGCAAATTTGGAATCTGTTCACACTTTAGCTTTAGTAGAAATTGAACTTCTGCCCAAAAGAACAGGAAAACCAGATTGCAAGAATAAACTTTGACAATTAAATCATCCAGGTCAGTGAAATGAGATCAAGTCCTAGAAGTTTTTGGATTCCAAGTTCTCTTCTGTGTTTCAGGCCTTACTGCTATTCTGTGTAAATAAGATTGTTTGTTTTCTATTGAGAACATCTTCTTGATTTGCAGGGCAGTTTTAATTTTAATTAGTAGCCTTCAGAAAAAGTAACATTTTTCTACCACCTTAACAGTTGGAGAAACAGAAGCTATCAATGTATGGAATATCCTTCTGCATACTAAACATACTACTTACTTTTTTTGATAATGCTGTTGTCCCATTGTCTGTTAATTAATATAAAGCAGCCTTTCATTTTTTGTACTTGTGAGTAACAGATGTTTTTTAGGAGGAGCAGATGAATAACTTTTACATGATTAATAAAGTGCTGCTTAAAATTGGAACACTCAAAATAACTTTAATTTTCACTAATCAGAATTTTGGTGGATGGAATTAAATACCTGAAATACAAACAAGTTCTTTTGAGTTTACTATAAGGAATGTTTTTGCCTCTCACATTGTTGCCAAAACAAATATATTTTCTTAGTGTGGGTCAAATACAGCTTACCTGTATGCAAAATGGATCGTGTGGGCTTTAATGATGAACAAGAATGGGATTTGTCCAAAGGCATTTCTTCTTGACTTCTCCAGCCTTCACTTGCCTTTTATTTATATTAACAGAAAATAGAATTTACCCCCAATAGGACTAAATCTACTGGAAGTCAAGAACAGCACTTTCTGATTCTTTTTTTAATTTCTTTTTTTTTTTTTTTTAATTCTAGGCTTGTGTAGTCCTGAAGTTATACAGGAAGGGAGCCATTAACAGCTTGGACCTTCCTCTAGTTACTTAGCTATTTGAAATGGGACCTCCTGAAATGGGAATTTAATCTAAGGGCATTATAGCTGTGTAGTGGAAAAATCATTCCCTGAAGGGAAGAATCAGTCTTGAAGTGCTGACAGACAGCAACACAGAAAGTAAAAGTCTGATTTCTTGTTTCAAACCCCAATTTTTTTTAAAGTATAAAACGGAAGAGTCATACAATAGTTTAAATAGAAATGAAAGTTCAAAGCATAGACTTGAAATCTTTTGATCCAGAAAGGCTGGGAGACATGTTTTTAAAATACCAAAATATCCTTCTGGCTTGCATGTATAATATGTCTTCTCATCCTTTTTTACTTCTTGCAGCACTTCCATTTGGATCAATGTCGTGATAAAATATGATTTCCTCTAAGTTTCTCTGACTGGCTGTGAAAGGAGAGCATGGTTGAGTGTGTGTTCAATTTTGAGTTCAGCTCCATGCAGATGTGGGTTGCCCACCTATGACTTTGATATAATTTTTCTCTGAGACAGCCTTCCTGATGACGTTTTTTGCCAACATCTCTTCAGCTTACTCTTGGTTTTACAGTCTCCAGTACATGTACTTGCACATGAGCTCATGGGTCTAGATCAGCCTTTTATTTGCTTTCTACCTAACAATCTCATTTTTATACATTTCTTTCCATCTCAGTTCTGATCTCATCCTCCCCACTCACAGAGTTTCCAGTCCAAACTGCATTTACACCTGACAGTCATTTTTCTTTTAATAATACTTCATCTCCAGCAGGGCATTAGCACTTCTTCCCCTTTTTGATCTCCAAATTTTTGACCCCTTACACTTTTTCCTCCTGTTTTTCCCCCCTTTCTTTTAATATCTTTAGTCATCTGTTACATCTTTACAGCTTTCTGCACCATATAATTTCCATGGCCTTTATCTATATATACACATTTTAACGACACCAACATCTACATCTCAATGTAGTATGCTTTTTCTTTCCTGTTAGAAGGAAAATCTAACATGATATTGCCAGTGTTCTTCCTTCCTAAAATTTATTACCAGCCATATTAAGAGGTCTTTAGTAGCTGCTCTGGAAAGCCTATGCACAGATGAGAAGGACAAAAATTTTTGTAGGAGAGGTGGCCTTAGTTTCTAAAAATCATGCCTATAGCAGTATCCCTACTGAAAAAATAGCTCATTTTTTAAAGGCACATGCTTTAGAACAGTATTTTGTTTCAGCCATCTGTATATATTTAATGAATCAAACAACCTTGATGAACTAACACAGTGACCACCACAGAGAGATAACTTTTTATTGTCCCTTTTCTTCCATTCACAGCAACTACAGCGCCCTGTTAGGAGTGTGGATCTATGGCTTTTTTGTGGTGATCTTACTGATCCTGGACCTTTTATATTACTCTTCAATGAACTATGATATTTGCAAATTTTACCTGGCCCGCTGGGGAATCCAGGGAAAGTGGATGACACAGGGACAGGGCCGATGGATTAACCCTGCTCAGGACCCAAGACAGACACAGCCTCAGCCAGAGACACAGCCTCAAACTCAGCCCCAGCCTCGAACATCACAGACAGTACATACTTTAAAAGGAGATGCTTTAAGCCCACCCCTGGTGTCTTTTCAGAGTACATCTGCCTGGTAAGTAAGCTAAGCCATACTGAGATATATTCTTTTGCTGGTTTGGAGTGTGATCACCTGTATTTGGAAGTGCCTGTGAATTCAGGCTGAACATTTCTAGCACATAATTATTTATATCATGACCTGTCTGATCGAATTACTGCTTAGGAGCAATGTCTTACTCTGGAATATATTAAATCATTTTTTAATCCTTTCCTTGGAGAAACAGGTGCTGCCATCTTTCAGTGCTGAACAGTTTTACTACTGTGTCATGCAAATAAACTAAAAATCTGCATCAACCATTAGAAAAGTGGTTTTAATCTGGTCTCAAAGACCAATTGCTATGTGTATCTGTTGCTCTGGTTTTAAAAGACTGTATAAATAGCGACGTTGGAATAGCTTCAACGTGAGATATCACAAATCCTCTCTATTTGTGGTATGAGATACAGGAACAACATAAAAACCAGGTTAGTTTTTTATATGCACAGCCAAAAAAGCTTTGCTTTGATCTCATTTGAGAGAGTGACACAAGTAGGCTACGGTAAGGTTAAATGCTATGAAACCAAGACAAAAATTCCAAAAAACCCCTCAGACCAAAAGGGAGACAGATTTATGGGAGCAAGCAGAACTTGCAACATAAATAGGAAAAATTAAACACAGATAGCCATGGGACAGAATAGCATCAAATTATTTTGGACTGGTTTTGCAAAGAAAACACAAGCAAAGGGAGAGAGCTGAGTAAAATGTTTTTGTGAAAAAGAAAGGTGGGGCTTTTTTTCTTGTCAAGAAAGCATTAGGATTTAGAAGGATTCAGAGAGAGTACCAAGTCACCAGTGTATTTTAGAAAAGTTCCAGAAGGCTGAGTGTTGAGTTTTGGCAAAATAAAGCGATCCAAGAATGAGCAGGGTGAAAAAGATGACAGCAGTTCCTGGAGCTGTGGAGCACATGAAGCCTCAGCACTGATGTCAGTCTGAAACCTTCGGGTATTGCTGTGTTGCAGATGGGATGATTCAGTGATAGAGGAGGTTGCTTGGCACTGGAGCCAGTTCTGTATCCAGTGCAGATCAGACTGAAGAACCATTCCAGCAGTGCTTGCTCAAACAGAACAGTCTGGGGCTGCTACTTGAGAGAGAATTGCTTGTGCTTTGTTGTGAGCACTCTTCTTTTCACTTCCTCTTTACTCTTTCCTTCCTCTAATTCTTCCAGCTGTTTTGCACATTAGTTTCCCAGTCTCCAGTTAAAATTGCTATGTGTGTTAAGAACTACATTTGTAGAAAAGTAATGGTATCCTGCCTTGATATGTGTGTGTACATGTACAAAAATGTCAGCATCTGCAAATTTATATACTATTAGTCTGCCCTAACATTATAAATTGAAACCGTTCAGTATTCTTGAAGAAGTGGTTCCTGGTCACCTCTCCTGACTGGCTCTTGTTGTTCTGTTTCTTTGCTTTTCCCGAAGTGTTAAGCGGGCAATGTGTGTTAGGATCAGGTGAGCACATCCCCGATGCTCCTTGTCCTGTGCTGGCAGGAGATGAGCATTGATAAATCACTCCAGTAACACTCCCTTCTTCCCCAGTGAGCTGTTTGTGCTCCCTTCACCTCCCATAAAATTGTTCCTTTTTTCTCTCCCTAGTGCTTTCCTTGCTCAGTGGAAGAAATAAGTAGATGCTTCCCTATCAAAATCCTATTTATCCCCTGTATTTCAGCAAGTGAAACACTACACAAGCTTCCATATTTTCATTCTTGTAACCTGCAACTTCTGGAACTCGAAGCCCATGAACCAAGAGCACAGATGATTCAGTCCGAGTTGGATACAGAAAAAATAGCAGTAAGCACTGGTGATCACAGGCAAGATGTTTAGCATGCAAAAGAGGATTCTGAGTAAACAGCTCCCTCAGAAAATGACAGATTTGTGTACTACAGCAATTGCTAAAACAGTGGGGAGTGGGTTGCCTGGCTATTTATTTCTCTGTTAGATAATCTGCAGGTTATATAGATGAAAATATGGTAATTTTGCCCTACAGAAATTAAGCTTAGTTTCAGAGTCTGATTTTCTGCTGCAGTCTATATTTGATGAATGACCTCAGTACTGTCTTCTCAAAATGTAACCATACTATCAGTGAAGAAGTGAACACGTACTGGATTTATCATTTCCATCCCCATTTTTAAAATTACTGTGTCTATTAAAAGACTGGATTTAAATTTTCTACCTGAATTCCATTATTCTAGATTATGACACCTGTTTTGGTAACACACCAGGTTTCCAGTCTAAAAAAACAATTTTTCAGTTTATGTTGCCATTTTAATATGTCCTAAACTTATCCCAGCTTTTTCTGCCTCTAGGGAAAACAAGCATTTTTCTTTAGCACCTCACAAACACACTGTGTGTGTGTGTGGGTATGTGTGTGTGTGTGTATATATATATATGTATATACACACAGGTGATATCACCCCAATAAGAATGGTTCCTGGGTACAGATGAGCATTTTGAAAATGTAGAATAGATCTTTTAATCCTGACAGGTATGAATATACCCCTTAGGCATGAAAAACTTAAATACTGTTAAAAACATTTTCCAAACCAGTTTGCAAGTTTTCGTGATGACAGATGTTGAAGTTGTTAACTTCCTGTACTTCATTCATCTGAGCACAGCTAAAAATATGCCCATTCTAGAAAATACTACATGATGATAACAGGAAAGTGATTCTTGCAAATCCCTGTAGTACTGCAGAGAACTGATGGTGTAAGAAAGTGTCCCAAGAAGGATGCCAGGATAAACCTATAGTTTGTAAAGTGGTTTTGGATTTTCCTGGATTAAATAAAATAAGTAATGGTTTGGGTTTTTTTCAGCATTTCTTTCCTTGCCCTGGTTTAAATGCTATAAATTGGCAATAAATTGGGTATGTCAGAGGGATAAATCAAGCAAGTAACAGTATAAAGTGGGTAGAACCCATCCTGTGATGTTTAAACATTTTGTCACAGTAGATCACTTCATTGTTTACTTGAGACAAAGACAACCATGTATAGCCATAATATTATTATAAGTAAAGAGGTCTGGAATCCATTAGGCAAGCAGCTGGCTGCTCTTGCAGCGTGGTGCCAAGATAGGAAGGAAAATCATTAATCTCAGGAGCATCCAACCCCATTTGGACTAGTATTGCTTCGTCCTGTAGCGTGTGGATTTTGCAGACCACTAATGCTGATTTCTTCTTCAGTATGAAAACCACCTGAGGGCTGCCCAAGGCCTGTGTGGGCTGAAGGTCATGGTGGATGCACCTTCTGCAACCCGAGCTCACACCACCGTGGTTCCCTGCTGGGGCTTCCTTCAGCTCACCAGCTGGGCCCTTCCCGGGGGACACCCTGCACTCTGGGGACCTGAGCAAGCTCTTACACACGGACATGGAACTGCAGCAAGCAGCAGGCAAATTATTTCTACTGCTCTGCAAAGTAAAAGCCAGGGAGGCGATAAAATGAAATATTGCCAGTTGGGGAATCGAAATCCTGACTGCTGAAACAACTTGTTCTCAGAACTGTGGGAATGTTTTTAGTTAATAGTAATTAAAATGGTCAGGCTTAAGAGGAAGATCACACACACTAAGTGTGGGCCAGGGCAGCCTGGCAGAATTCCTCCAGGTCCTCCCGTGACTGTGTTGTGTTCCAGCTGTGAGAGGGAGACCTGATCCCTCAGCCTTGCTCTGCTGATGTTAAACTCCTCCTCACCTCCATCAAGGATGCAAATCACAGGGAATAAACACTGTCTTGAAGTCCAACATTTGCTTCTGTGTTCCCTGCCTCTGTGCACAGCAGCAGGCAGAGGCACTGTCAGTGATCACACATGTGCTCCATGACTCAGTTTCAGAAACCTGCTGCTTTCCTAGAATCGGGAAAGGTAGCAGCCCAGCAGGGTTAGCCCGTGTTATTTCCTTTACACAGCTGGAATGGATTAGGCAAAGACAAGTCTATTTTACTTTCCCTTATTATTAAAGGCTGGAATCTGCTTTTGCTGTGCATTCCTCTGGGGCACTTTGTCTTTCGGACAACAAATAGAATAGTTTCTAGCCTGCTGCTTTTTGCCTGCTACTTGACACCTCTGCAGATGACTACCAAAGCACCAGAGAGAATAAAGCCTATAAAAATACTGGCAGAGTTTAGGAGCCAGCAGGTAACTGAGCATGTCCACAGCAATGTACAAAAAACACATAAATATTTTGCTGGGGGCTAAAAAGACCATGTGAAAGAATTTGCTTTGATACTAAATTTTGAAACAGGATCTAGACTATCACTGCAGTGCTTCCTTCAGTGACTTGTAAGAGCTGCAATCTCGCCTGTGTCATGGGACAGTAGGTCACTGTGCACATAGTCCACCAAAACCATGAGCCTTTGTGCTCTTGATACAAGTTACCTACAGTAAGCAAGGGAAAAAAGGCTGCCTCCTTCCATTTGAAATAAATAAGATCTCAACTTGACATTTGCAGGAATAGGGTGATGCTGTTTTAAAGATGCAAAATTTTACATCATAGGGCCAAGCATAGTTTTTATTTAGATTCCCCCACCTAGATTTTATGTTAGATGAATATGGCAAATCAGAGTACCGGTAGCTGTTTGGGTTTTTTAAAAAGATTAAAATAAATAAAATTGAACATTTATACTGGGCTTTTATGAAAGAACTGTCTGGGAATTGACATCACCTAGAAAATCTGTTTGGTTATAAACATTAGGTATGTGAGCCAGCATCCACCATTATCTGTGAGCCTCCAATGCCTTTGGAATATAGTGGGTTAGAATAACAGATACTGCTAAATGTATTTTCTTCTAAATATTCTTACCTTGCTTGCTGGGAACTGAATAACTGTAAAAAGTAGAAATAAGCTCTACCCCAGCCCAAACCAGCAGATCAGGGCAGGAGACCAACACACAGCAGGCTTGGAACCAAACACTTCAAAATCTGCAGCACCCTGAGTCTTGTTTGCTTGCCTTGAAACAACATGCAAAAAATTGGGAGATTTTGGTTCTATCATTTGCATTTAAATAATTCAAGTTACTGAGTGCCTGCTTCCTTCCTTCCTTGTGTTT